GTGTTTCTCGCGCGGAAACCTTGAAAAAATATTGATCACCCGACGTTTTCCCCAAGCTCTCGCCGGACACAGCTCCGACGGAAAACCGCAACGATCTCCTCGCGGAGAAGTAAAAACAACATACGAAAAGAGATGGGGGGGGGGGGGGTCCACTCTCGCGTCGAGGACAATCTGCTTTTACCGCGATCAATGATTGGCAATTTGCAAAAATCCCTGGCGGTTTCGCCCCGCGCGGATTTATGTCGTCGTTACGTGACCGTACAAATGCGCGGCCATCAAATGGATTTGCGGTCCGCATAACGTTATGTGTAGAAGCGGCCGGCTGAAAAATGCAACGGGAAGGGGGAGGGGGCGGTGGGGGGGTTGGGGGGCGGGCGCTGCGTGAATTTCGGCGGGTTAATATGAAACATTGATTTATCGACCGGGCCGCGGCCGCTGTAAAGCTTTATCGCGAGGCTAAATACACGTTTGCGTAGGCGTTCGTTAAAAACGATGGTGAAAAAAATTGAATCTGTCTGAGAATTACGTTCCGGGCAATGTGTATGCGCGTGTGTCGTCGAAATGAATGAAAAGTAGGAATTACGTTTTTATGCCTTGATTGAGGTACTAATTTTTCTTTTATTATTTGATTTTGATTGGACTATTGTTTCACTTTTTCTCTTTGATATTGATTATTCTTTAAATACATGTTTGATAGTAACATTTTGGTTGCTACGCCGTCTTTCGAAGGTAACTTGTTGTGTTTGATCTACATCTCCTCTCGAATATTGAATTTTGTTTAAAATAAAAATGTAAAATGAAACGTTGAAATATGGATCCAAAGATAGTATCCACTGTGTAGCTCTCTGTACCTAAAAATCTTTTATGATCCTTTTACATTCAATCATTTCCAAAAATTCGTAAATTTTGTTTCAAGAGGAAAAAGTTACGCATTTATTTATACACTAATACACCTTCGTTCTCTTTCCACATTTTGTCAGCAAAAAAACAACGCACAAAATTAAAAATATTTTACCGATATCACTGTACCAGTGGTATACCAAAGATTGAATCTTTCATCTTAAGCTGAATTTACATAATATATAGAAATATATACCGCACGGGAATATCTCCAAATCTCAAGACCAAAAATCCGAAATCGCGACTATCGTCGTCCCATAACTCAGCGTTTCCATTTTACATTTTACAAAAAAAAAAAAAAAAAAAAAAAAAAAAAAAAAAAAAAAAAATGAAACACAGGAGGAAAAAGAAAAAAGAGAGAGAGAGAGAAAAAATTTCATCGAAACGTTGCCGCTACTACGCATACGACAAATTGCATGGAGATCGATCGTTCCGCCGTCAGCGTCGCTACAATTTCCATCTCCGTCGTCCGAACAAAAGCGTTTACAACGATTTCAATTTATCCTCCGGCGAGGGGGTGGACGGAGGAGGAGGAGGGGGGGAGGGGGGAAGGGAGAGTAGGAAGAGAAGCGATAGCCAAAGACGGATATTAATTTCTTTCGGTTGATTTATTGGTCGACGATGAGGGGGAAAAAGCAACCCGCGATTTCTTGCCTTGTACAACAACGGCACAGCGTAAAAACCGAGCGAGCTGGTGAAATTCACCGGGCTCGAAGCCAGAACGGCGCGGTATTCATGGAAGTCGTCGCGGGGCGAAGTTTTCCTCTCTTGCGATACGCAACTGGCACGCTCTCCCGATGCATGCCATTTCCTTCGCGCGCCTCGCGGTCAGGATACGCGCGCATTTATATCTGTCGGATTTCGTTGCCGTCGCAAACGACGGCACACCCGTCTCGGAACGTATTTTTCAACGAGCTTTCGCGTCGTATCTTCGTGGATGCATCGGTTGTCGATGTTGATCGCCGTCTGAGAAAAATTGATGGGGAACGTTTACGGTGTTACGGAGGGGCGAAATTGTTTCCTGTTAATTCGTTATTCGCGCGGGATCGCGTATGTGCATCGTCTGGAAATATGTTGATATATTCTACTGATAGATCTTGTGTTGTTATAAATTTCGCTGCCCGTAAGTGTGTGGAAATTAATGGGAGAAATAACGGAGAAGTTTGTTTCCTGCTTGTCAATTCGTTGTTGAGTGAGACTGCATAAAGGTTATCGGTAGCTTTCATCGTCTGACGATACGTAGATTTATTCTACTGATAAATTTCGTTTTGTACTCTACTGCCTGTAGGTACAGGAGAATTGTTGGTGTTGCAGCAGAGGAATTATTTCTTATTTTAATTAATCACATTGAAAGAATTTCGAGAATTCATCAGCCACAAGCTTTTGAGCGATCTAATTGAACTTTGAATTGAAATTATAACAATATGTTAATACAACTGATTGTGAAGTGTACATATTGTGGAATATGAATGGTAGATAATCTATGATTTATTATTGGTGTTGATGACAGATGATGATGGCTGTGATTACAATCAGCATACCACGATTAACTTAATCTATATATTTATTTCATTTCTCTGGCTTTGATGACTAAACTATCGACATTTATGGAAATTCATATTTCCAAAAAGAATTGATTATAAAACTCAATTTTATTTATAACGCTTAATTACGATAGAGAAAAACTATTCAATTTAAAACAAAATTATACTATACTGTTATTTAATTTAAAATTTAAAATTATACTATTATTTAATTTGAAACAAGTACGTGTTGCAAATGTTTTTTTAAAGTGTTAATACGTTAGAACGCTTTAAATGTTAAACATTAATTTCATGAAATCGTTTATTTTCCATAATGAAATTTTTATTTCTTAATTGTCCGACCATTTACTGGGTTATTTTACTGAACGAATCTCCTACAGAGAAAAGGATTTTATTTCGAGTACTTTTATATTTTCTGAAACAAAAAGATCGGTAATTTATGAATACACATTTGTAGTCCAATTAATTCATTATTAAGTATCACATTTTAAAATTACAATTTATCCACGTGGAAAAATTCGTGCAAACAACGTATTTTTTATTAAAATAGAATACATTCCTGCTTTTATTTCGTTTTTACTAACGAGTTACCTTATTAATATTCGCTATTATTCGTTCAATTCATTATTAAAGGACACACACGCGTCTGCCGTGTTTCTGGCTGCCGAACAATTCCACGATTTTAATCATCAAACCTGCCAATAAATATTAAACAGTATTTCACATTAAAAACGAATGAAAATGATATCGATGCGACATGCTCGTTTCATCATTAATCAACGAACGAATGAAGAATTCATTTTCTTAATTAACAAGAATCCCTTCTGGTTAATCCTTTGGAGCAAAAATTCTTTCTCTGCCCGCTAATGGTGAAAAGCTCTCGAGTTTTAAATTTAAAGCGTTAAATAGGAAAGATGCTTGTAACTCGAGAAATATGTATTTTAATTCCTGTCTTTTAGTCCTTCGCTAATATGAAACAAACGTGTGTTAATGTTATTTACTTTTTTTATAAATATATAGAATATTATTTAATTGAGAGTATATATAATAAATCCCTAGAATTATTTAACAACCGTAAAAAAAAAAACATATTTTCCTCCTTTTTATTCGCTTTCGAGTTTCCAGTACTTTACCAGAGACACGGTGATAAAACGCAGTTTTCCTCGTGCTTCCCCGTCGAAAGATTGTTCCCTTCTCGCAAGCTCGTACGATCGTGAAAGGGCGAATTAAGGAACGCACAAATGGACGGAATCTGCGCTCGCGTTTAAGAAGATCGCAGTTCTCATAATTTATTCCCCATAAACTGAAACGCTTCGGCAAAGTACGTTCGTTTAACTGGCAGTACGATTAATTCATATTAACGTCATTATGATGGAGAATGTGTACGGCTCGGAGACGAGCCAGAAAGGACGAGCCGTTCCGCTGCATTCACTGATCTCCTCCTCGTTCCTTCAATTAGTCGTTTAAAAAGGTCTCGCCAAAGAAAGAAATCGTGCGCAAGAAGGGGATCAGCGACGTTATCTGCTATTAAGCCGTTATTTATGCAAAATTCTTCTATGTCTGTCCGATTGTACATCGGTACATATTCTACTTGCAAATCATTTTCTGCGTTTTCTATTGTTGTACGACTCGAGTTTCAAAGTTTTAATAAACGTTAGAAACGTTTTAACAAAACTGTAAAATTACGTTCCTGTCCGTTTTCGTTGCCTCACGTCTGACCGTACATTGATGTATTCTACTTGCGAATAGTTCTTCGAGGGATTAAACCGCGATGATAAATAGCATGTTTATTCGAATTGAAATTTATCAAAGTGTCTCTTAGCGATGGGTAGTTATTTATTAATGCGATCGAAAATTGTGCTCCGATAGATGCCAAAAAATTTGGATTTCTTTTCTGGCCCCCCCCCCCCCACGCATATTAATTTAAAAATATAAAGTTATTCACAGAGTTATTTAAATGCTTGATACGCTCTGTGTTACATTTAAAAATTTCTAAAACTAACAGTCCGAATTTACGTTTCAACGATATTAAAATTAATTCGCTTGTAATATAATGAAAAATAAAAGGGAGGAAGTGCCGGGGGAAATTTGATTGCAGCGTAAAAATTGTATAATATTTATACAAAACGAATAAATGTTAGGAAATCCGATACAATTCGCGTTTCATTAGTTCGATTAACATTCGTATTAATTTACACTTCAAATAATGAATCACGCGGGATTTCAATTTAACCGTTGAAAGTACGAGGAGAAGATAACGTTACGTTTTTATTCCACGCTAATAACGATATAAAAGATATAGGCAAAGTAAACAGTGTTTGAAAATAACCGAAACATAGTGCAGTATCGCAAATTATATAAACAGTAATTACAATACAGATGAAATAAACAGTTTATTTATACAACTGGGTAAAAGTAACGCGTAAAGTTTTTAATATTGATTGTGTGACGAGAAAATTTTTTTCAACAAAAATTATTATTGTGTCGAACGTATCGTAAATAGAAATACGAGTTACGAACAGATGTTTACGGGTGAATTATTCTTTGTTATTTCAGCAGCAGATACGAGCACGAATCAGCAGGCTCGCGCGAACGCAACGGTTTTTACCACCCAAGCTGACAGCGCGTCGCAGATTTCCGGTAAAACGAGCTTCGCGGTGCCAGCACCGCCTCCACTCGCCTCCGCGGAGAAGGTCCGCAGACTTTCGGATGGCGAACACTTCCGGCAGCCGAATGTCACCGTTTCCGGACACGCGACCGTGCAGAAGCAGCTACAAGAAGCGCAGACACAGGCTCAGGCGCAGGCGCTGGCCGACATGATCCTGAAGGTGCATTTTTGTTCTTCAATTCAATATCTCTCCACGCTTTTATTTCATTCTTCAAATGTTTTTGGATGGATAATATTTCTAGGTGGGATGAGATCCAATATATTTCGCATCACTAAAAATAACGACATGATTTATTTATATTTTACAAAAGGAACAATTTGTCTCAATTTTTCCTCCATCGTCAGAAATTTTATCACTGGGAATAAATTCGGCGAAACATTTCTCCATCCTTTACACTAAATTTCTCCAACGCGTATTTTTATATTTTCCAATGTAAAAATTTATAGTTTGGAGATTTAGAAATTTGAAAATCGTATGAAATTTCCAACAATTTATGATATTCCGCTTTGACTTTGTTAATGAGAAATGGAACCTTTAATTTTTTAGGGCACCACCAAAATGGCTGTGAAGAGAACGACTTCCGATCCCGGGCAACGATTGCATCTGACGTATCAGACGTCGGTTCAATCGACGACCAATCAACAGCAGCAGCAACAGCAACAACAGCAGCAACAGCAGCAGCAGCAGCAGGCACAGCAGCAACAGCAACAGCAGCAGCAGCAACAGCAACAACAGCAACAAAATAATCAACCTCAAGCTCAGTCTGCGGTTACAGACAGTTTTTCAATGACGGGTTACTCTGAGGACGGTGGTTACTTTAGCCCGAGTCTTCAAGATGAGGTGTTCCAACAGGTCACCGCAGTTCCCGATAGCGTTCTGCTTCACGCTACTCAATTGGATTCTCTTCAGGTGAGCGATTATATCCATTTTGATATCATTTCTTTTATCCTACCTTTCTGAACCTTGTGATTCCTTCGAAGATGGAACAATATGATTTTACGATTTTCAATAATCCATGAAAACTTCCACGTTTATACGACTACATCTCGTAGAGATTACGAAAATATTTGTCAGCTAGAACAATGTTTGGAAATTCCAAAATCATACAACTTCGTAGTAACTTTGTGGTAGTAATTGTAACGTTCCTGAATTGCTACTGAATAGAAATTCAGGAATCCCGGCTTGAGACCCCAATTTGTAGGAATTTTGATAAAAGAATAGTTGTTTATTTAAGGTTAAATAAAAGAACAGTTGTTTAATGATGATTATAAATGACGTTTTACACTATTTCCTTAATTGCTAAACTCGCTAGGCTCGCAATTATCAATTCACTGTCTTCTCTCTCTCTCGCGTGCAATTCTCAACTCACTGTATTCTTCTCTTTCACGGTTCGCTCACTCTGCTCTCTCTGATATCTCGAAACTCACTGCCTTTTTTTCTCATCTGCACAAAATTCGTCATTCTTACGCACATGCACATATACTCACAGACGCATCCATATCATTAGTGTCTTAAACGCTAGGCCTGGAGGGCTAGCCATAAACAATCCCAGGCCTAACTTTCTCTACTGTTTATGCTACACCACTTGGGACATCTGCAGTCGTCGGGCACTGGAGAAAGGTTCTGGGCCCTTTCCCAGAATTCGCCCATCCCAAAGAAATAAAAATAAAAGTGGACGCACGAAGTCTACTATAAATTCGCCTCTCAAACTCAATTATCAAAACATCCACTTCCATTCTTCCCTAAATGGTTCGCAGACACAATTTTCGCCGAAAAGGCAGTGCAAAGAGATCGCTAAAGGCGGTGACGCGTGAACGAATGCCGGGGTCCGTCGTTTTCGTCGCTTGTGCCAAGACAGAATATATCCAAGACCCTTTGACGGGCTAATTAGTCCCGGCGTCGCGTACTTCGTTCCGCGTCAAGCGTCGAAAACGCTTTAGTTTCAATTACGTGACGGGGCAACGTGGTTCTCTCTCTCTCTCTCTCTCTCTCTCTCTCTCTTCGAACACAGAATTTAATAAGGCGAATTATCTAAGTAGTTGGCACCAACTGCACCGACAACGACCTCGACGACGCTTTGTGCTGTTTGAAAAGCACCGTATCCGCCTGTGTTCTCTACCTATTCATCGAATATCTTGCTATCTCCTTTCCTTGTTTCTCTCTCCAGTTCCATCACGTCTCTCTCTCTCTCTCTATCTTTCTCTTTCTCTGTCTTGCTGTCAAGAAGACTCGTTAACGTCTGACCTGTGGATATCAAAAATTCCAACGTAATGGCTGCATCCATCGACGTGCCATTGGAACGTCTTCATTCCACGAGCTTCCCCTTCAGTCCCCTAACAAATTCAATTTTTGACGAGAGCTTCTAGGACGAGAATCAGACATCAATCCACGTGAAACTCGAGGCAATGTTATTTCTTTTTCGAATACGACTTTCCGTGATTAATTGTTGATTGATTGAAACGATCGATGAGGAACGAGTGTAAGTCTTTCTTTATTGACTATCGTGGTGCAATTGAATGTTTGTTGTCTTTTTTTTTTTTAACTGAGTTTTATTTTACTTTCGGTATCCTCTTTCGCATCATATCTAATGGTCATGATATACACCTAGTGATCGTATAATAATGACATAGAGTTGTTAGATGATATACGAAACCATAAGCGCAGAAATAATCAGAAGATAGCGTTTCTGTTAGAGAGTCAAGTAGATGAAAAAACGTTTAATAACGTAAATAATCGTCCACGATTGTATACAGAAAATGTCAATCAAACGCCAATCTGTTCAGTTTCAGACAGCGAGCCTACTGCAAGAACAGCCAGCCGAGCAATTGCAGGACATCACCCTGGAAGACCGATATCCATCTCAACACACGGTTAACCCAGACCTGCAAGCGCTGGTCAATTCCCCATTACCGGACTCGCTAGCCGAGTTCAGTACCTACGGTGCCCAATACACGGAGAGTCCGCACACCTTGCCAACTCAGTCTCCGTTGTCGTCGCCACTGACGAGACACGACAGCCCAAGCTTCACATATCCAACGCCGCCAGCCAGCCAGGAGGGTCTGCTAACCGGAAGCTTCCCACTGTTGAGTCCTCAGGAGGATCCAGAAAGCGTGAGACAGGTCTCGTCGCCTCTGTCAGCGGCTTTCTACGCGACCCCGATGTCCTCCGCGGCAGCGGTGGAGGAAGCTCTGAGCGAAGTATTGCCAGGCGAATCCGAGGCAGACGCCGACCTGTACGGGTCCGGTTCGCCGAATCCGCACTCGCCACTGCCAAGCCCATTGTCGGCGACTCCAGCACCATCGCCGCTGTCCTCGTTGCCACCGTCATCGGTCTCGTCGCCGGGGCCAGTGTCGTTCACTGGCGCCAGCTTCCCCGTGTCCCCGCATCACGCGCTCCAAAATCAAATGATGCCAAACTCGGAGGACCCGCTGCTCTCGTCCACGCCGAAGGACTTCACGACAGCCAGTCGCAGACGGTTCGAGTTTCAATCGTACAAGTTCATCACCAGCCAGAACTTGGTCGACTTTGGACTGGGCAACGGTAGCCTGGCTGGCATCGTAGTGGACAACAACGGGGAGTTCAAGCTCATCCAGACAGCCGGGCTGCAAAAGACGAACGTGCTGGTGCAGACGGGCTCCGTGAGCCCGGCACTGACATTCAAGAAGGAGATGCGGCTGGCCACACCGAAGGTGGAGCCTGTCACCGTGAACCTCGGCCTAAACGTACAGACGAATCATCAGTACAACGCTGGCCAGTTCAATCAGCAGCAAGTGGTCAACCCGACCAAGTTTCTCATACAGACGAACGTGGCCAAGAGCAACATGAGACAGAAGACGATCAGCGGGAGCTTGCCTATCCCGGTGGAGCAGATCAAGGAGGAGCTCCTCGACGAGGATGTATTCCTCAATCCTAGCAACGTGCCGGCTGGCAGCCCTGTCAGACAGTGCAGAAAGAGGCCTCGCATGGACGGTGGATTGTACGCGAACGCGTCGCACTCGTACCCGTCGAGATTGAGGAAGGCCTGTGACCGACACTGGGACAGTAGCTACACACCTCCGCCGATTTTGGACCCTTCCAGACCTGGGCCAGGGCTGTACGCGAGGCTGCATCAGTACGAGAGGGATTCTGATTTTAGCTCGGACGATTCGCAAGGGAACGACGGACCACCGCCGAGGATCAACATCGGGACGAGGTACCAGGCAACGATACCTCCGATCGGCAGCGACGGAGATAGAGGAAAAGGCGAGCCCGAGGCTGATCATCTGCTCTGGGATCCTGGTATAAATAACCTGCTGACGGATAACGAACGTAAGTGTTAACAATTGGGATTTTCGATTGGAACTTTTTGATTGGACTTTGGGCTACCTTTTGTCTCTTTTGTCGAAGTTCTACTTTGTCCACGATTTTCTCGAATTGAGGATTTTCATTACTGTTCTCGCTTCTGATTTGTATTTAAGATTTGTATCTGATTCTATCTCCGGCTTGTACATATGCGTCTTTGAAAATGAGAGGGAAGTGGTTACGTAAGATTCAGATGATTGTACAGTGTATATTGAGACTTTGTACATAGAACCCTTTGTATTTATTGAAAAATATTTCAGCAGATGCGAAAGAATTACTTTCTCGAGTACGTTGAGGGAAAGGTTGAAACATTATGCACTAAGATTGTCGTGTCCGAGGTTACAATAACGATACAATTCTAAGTTATAAATATATTTGTGACTTTATAATCCATTTTGAAGCAGTGAAAGAGAACAGTCGGAAAGCAATAATTTCGTAAAAATACACAGTCGTAATAATTATTATTCCATGAAACGAAACTTAATTTTCCCTGACTGTAGCAAACAATCGACATTCGTTGATCAACGATTCCCCAGTGTGTTTTTCTACGGTATCGCGCAGAATCGGCATCAAAAGAATAAGTAGATTAATTTATCCATGAACGTAGACTGCAGTAAAACACACGAGGGTAACACGTAAAACGTTCGCGATATCGTCACGCTACAAATACATTTGTAAATTGCATTTCGTTTATGCTTTCGCGCCGAAGGACGGGTTTTTTCCACGCGAGCAAATTGTATCTGAAACAAACAAACAAAAAAAAAAACCACTTTTGTTTTTGCAGTGGAAATGTACCTACAATTTGCATGCTGCGCCGCGGTACCAGGTGGAGGAAGGAACAAAGAATACGCGCTTCATCTGCTGCACATGTGCAAAGGAAACATTCATGTACGATTCTTTCAGTTTAATTCCTTCACGCCCTATTACCCTTGCTTTTCTTTCTCGAATAATATGTTACGCTGTTGATTGAGAAACCAAAAAAAAAGTATCTAATATACGACCAGTCCTTTTTTAATATTCATTAAATAGTTTCGTGCGCCGAAGCTGTTTGTACGCGTAAATTATCTGCATTTTCCTCGAACTGTAGCTGTTCCTTCTGTGCTATCTATCATGTATATATAAAACCATTTGCTTATATTTTCATATTTTTCCCCCTTTTTTTTTTTTTTTAATTTTCAGCTTTTATTTTTTAAACCTGTATCTCCATGCTCTCAAGTATGTCTTCTCTCGTATGTTTTAACATTACTAATTTTCAACTTAAAGCTTCGATTGTTTCAATATTCGGAACATTCCTGTTAGCTTTAAAATAACTTTAATTTTAGAATACGTGGGAAAATCTTTCCAGTTCGCAAATGCTAGGATTCCTCACGTTTCTCGAGCCCTCTTTCATTAGAATTCTTTCCTCAATCGTGTCAACGTGATTTCGTCATCCGTTCGTAGGAAGCAATGCTGAAGCTGATGAGACCAACGCCTCCGTTGCCAGCGGAACATCCGCTGCTGAGTTACGAGTGCCACGAATCTGACCGGTGGACGTCGCAGGAAATGGACGCATTCTATCAGGGCCTGTTGAAGTACAACAAGGACTTCTCAGCGATCTCGCGAGACGTCGGCGGCAAGTCCGCGAAACAGTGCGTGCAATTCTATTATCTGTGGAAGAGGCTCTGCCCGGACGAGTACAGGCGACTGCGTGTCCGTCACGGTAAACCAAAGATTAAGACAGAGAGCAAGGATTGCAAGGACACTAGGGAGCTCCGCGACGCCATCGCGTCGGTCACTGAAATGGACTTCAGCGAGGACAAATCGATTCTTCATCGCACTCTGGTGAGTTGAGATTAAGACACGCCTGTTCCCTCTTAAAGAAAACGCGATTTTTCACGCGTCTGCGTTATTAAGACGAACGATACTCGAACGATACTTCGTATCAGTAAATTTTTCTTTTAATTTCTACTTTTTTTAGTCGTTAAAAGTTGCATTTTTTTTTTAAACTGCAATCTACTGATGTAACATTTAATACATGTTAAATATCCATACTATTATCAAGTACTCATTATAGTAACCTGGCTAAATGTGTTTTGAGCGTGATAATTTGTACAGTTATTGTATTAAAGATATGTCTAATTGTATTTATGCTCGCCGAAACTGCAAGTTTAATTTCGAAACACTTGTTCAAGAAATGATCGATTTAATAGGTCAATTTGTTTCAATGGAACTACTAAACGGAGCAAGCAGAGAATCTTTTTGCAACTTTGCAGTTTAGACAATTATCCTTGGACCTGTTGTAAACATTGAAGATTTTAATAGAAATTTCGTTGCGGTGACTGCGAAATTTCGAGACACTGTTTATTCCTGTTGGAGTTCCCCTTTCACGTGGAATTTCTTGCTCAGTTACAGACAAACGAGAGAGAGAACTCGGCCACTCTAACCACCAGCGACGGAGAGCTGAGATTATTCGCATACGACTGCCCCGATGTGAGTACCACCGTGTCCCTATCGCTCTCTATATGTATTTTATCTTTTACCTTTACAAGCTTCACAACGAAAGCCGAGTAATTCCAAAACGATAACGAATACTACGATCCTACTTGTCAGAGAACGAAATAATAGAGTGACGAAGTTTGTTAGCTGCTGAATATAACTTAATGTCATCGCTTCTTTTTATAATTAGGAATATACATATGATATAATGTCGAGCATTTGGAAATTCTTCTTTATATATACACATATTACATATCTTTTTTTTTTTATTTTTCTTAATAACAAGCATAGATCGATCGTTAAATGTCTTGACGATTATCTCGAGACTATTGATGTATATCTTCCATTGAACTTAAGTTATCAAACTAACCACTCGTCGAAGTATCGAGCATGAATCGTTCAAACTATCCGCGTCAGGTGTTTTTAAATCTAAAATATTGTTTGTTACGTTATATCTTCAAAAAGGTATCAAGACATCGTTTGAGATTCGTGCAAGTTTCAAGCTGGAAAATTAATTCTCAATCAGATCCACGCATGAAACAATATCTTTGTAACCGATGTGGTAATTTTGTCACGCGAACTGAAACATTTACAAGAAGCGATATCGTGTGTGTGATCAATTAAGTCAGGCTCGAACAATTTCGTTTCAAAATTTTCAAATTTCCAACAAACCTTATCACTTACGAGTCGAAAGAAATGTCCAAAAATACTTGAAACTTGAAAAATGCGGAAATTCGAAAGAACATGCACAACGATGATCGATTCGTGCTCGATGCGTACGTACAGCGCGTGACCACTCGACACGCGTGAACGATAACCGCGTGAACGTTTTTAAGTGTCGCATGTGACTTGTTGTTGGACCTGTCGTTTCTACTTTTCTCTCACGCTTTCTTCTCACAAGGTACGAACGCGTTGTGCGTTGCCGTGAAACTAAAAAAAAAAAAAACAAAAAGAAAAAAATAAAATTACAACACGTTTTCTCTGCGTTTACTTATCTCTGTTCGTCGTCGTCGTCGTCGTCGCCGTCGTCGTCGTCGTACGTCGTTGTTGTTTGTTTGTGTTGTTTATTTTGGCTTTGTGTTTCTTTGTGTTGTCAGAGCTTTAGCGGAAGTGTAACAGTAACGATGGCCGGGAGCACCCAAACCGCCCAAACCGGCAATACCGGCCACGCCACAGTCAACACCAACTCACAAACTCACACTAGTTCTGAGCAACAACTACCCGTGCCCACCCCACTTCACTACCCCTGCAAGATTTGCGGGAAGTAAGTCTCCAATCTCTAATCTAAAAAAACCAAAAAAAAAAAAGAAAAAAAGAAAAAAGACAAAAGACAAAAGAATTAAGTCCATCTCGAGTAAAATAACCGGCGACCAGCCACTGACACAAGCGAATTAGAGTTAACACGACGGGGTTACGAGCGGCAAGTATCGGTGCAAGCACAACCATAGAGAAACACCTTTGCTTTTATTTAGAGGGAGAGAAAGACAGACCGAGAGCGAGAGAGAGAGAGAAAGAGAGAGAGAAAGATTCTTCCTGCATACGTTACTTTCTTTTTCTTTTTTTTTTTTTGTTTTCTTCTCTCAAACCACGTAGCGTGTTTCCAGTTTGTAGATTCCAGTTTCGATTACATGTCGTGTACTCGATGGAGGGCTCGTGAATAACAGTGACAAATAATTGGAGGATAGAGGCAACTTTTTAAGAGAGGAGTATTTCTGGGAGTGTCATGGTGAATTTTTTTCATTGCACGATCTTTGAGAAGTTTTTGCAACGTAACGTTCGAGAATAAGCGTGCGTGACAATTTTTTGAGCGAAATGTTTGTAAATAAAAACTGATAGAATTGTCTGTGCTTGAAATACCGGCTAGTTGCTATCATCTAACTACGTCTAAAAGATCATCTTTAGTTTTTTACTCAAATTTAACAGAACTCAATTGATATCTCTGATATTCACGAACACTCTGTTAACAAACATACCTTCACAGAACGACTCATATAACGATGCTTGTATCCGATTTGCTGCTGCTACGATTTAACATCGCTTTTTAATCAATGTTTTACTCGCTGCACATTAACATGGGAACAACAGTTATACAATACGCTACGGCAGCAAGTTCGATGAAAACGCACTATTCTCTAGTATATATATTATACTCGAACAATTGCTTTGAAACAGCGTTGTTAATCGATGTTTGTCGCTCTGTCGATGTTTTTCATTTCTCGCACTTTAAAATTTATAAAGATTTTCCATTTCTGTTTTTTTTTTTTTTTTTTTTTTTTTTTTTTTTTGGAAAGTGTGCTTGTAACGCTCTGTGCAGAATCGTACAATTAGTATCAATGCAGGCTGAACTTTAAAGAAGCGTCATAGAGAATATTGTGCAAAATTCATAATGACACGCAGTAGCATATGATTATGTCACACAAATGAAATGTTCCCTTTTTTTTTTTTCGCTATTTATACGTGCATCATGGAAAAATTTTATACCTACGTGTTCCTTTTTTTTCTTTAATATAATTTTTTCTACGTGTTTTATTCTCTAATTGTTTTTTTTTTTTTTTTTTTTTAATTACGTTTCTGTCACTTACATTCCTTTCTCTGTTAAACCAGCATTTCGATCTTGTACATTTGAATTGCAATCGTTCCAGTACGGTTACACGCAGCACATCAAGGTGAATAATTCCGGCAATAAATATTTAGAATGCTTGCATTACCATAGAATCGATAATTAATGTTGCAGCGCATCATACGCATGATCTGTCATTAATTAGCTCAATGTTCATACGTCGTTGTCGTCACGATTACATATAATATACGTATACATCTATCAAGACGCATCGTTCAAGATACGTTCGACAAAAATTACAAACATCCAGAATCATTGAAATTGTACATTTAATTTACTTAAACAAATACGAACCAAAAAATCCCTTTTCAATACAATAGTGTCTCTTAATTAGCATCGCTGGGCTATTAGGAATCGTTGATTGGATCTTTTATTACAAATTTAAATCAAGAGGGATTTAAAATACAAAATAAAATCAAACTAAATCCTAAATGTTTATTTAACATAAATTATTATAAATCAATATCGACAGTACTGTTTGACAGTTATTAGACTGCGAATATTTATGCAATCCCATACTTTCAGAAATTTAATTTTAAAAGAAATCTATAACTGGTAAGAGGTATTATTTGATACTTTATCATAGTGCTTTTGACATTTTGTATATTTGTATTTTTTACAACATTAAATAACATCAATCTAGTTAATAACCCTTAAATGGACCATTGACTCCATAAACAATTGTATTACGTATTGCTATCGTTATTCGACGATTTATCCAATTCTCCATAGTCTCGTTTACAATTCTGCAATTGAACGTGTCAATTCCAATACTATTTAGCGTAAAATTGACGATCCACTTTTAAGTTTCGATATGAGCCTCGATAGTTCCAGTTACATTCACTCGCATAGTCTGTATGCCACGTGCCGATCCAAAGCATCGTGTTCGCCTAACACATATCTACACGATCGAAGCCCAGCTTCCAACCAGGGAATCGCCCGAACTAACAGAAACGCTCGATCTGTCTTGCAGAGTTTTCAACAAAGTGAAAAGCAGAAGCGCGCACATGAAATCCCACAGGCCGGTACCCTCGCCCGATTCAACGGGACAGGAATCTAAGAGGCCCGTTCAACAGCAATCGAAGGTGCAGCAGTCTCAACAATCCAACCAGCAGCAGCAACAACCACCACCACAACAACAACAATCGCAGCAGCAGCAGCAGCAGCAGCAACAACAACAACAACAACAACAACAACAGTCGAACAGCGTTTCATCGCAGGTCCAAGACTTCAATCAGCAGCAATTGCCTCCGAGCAACAACGACACCGGCGCTCAGAATGCAGCGCATTTATGGCACAACCCGACGCGGCTCAGGCCACCATAGGACGATGCCCAGCCGATTCAACTAAAGTTACCTTGACGAAGGCTGTAAACGGTACGGTAGGAAAGTATTTTACGGTCGCGCGACTAACAATGCGTTAAATAGGCAGGCACTACTTAAGCAAACGAACAAACAAACTAAAACTAGAGAGAGAGAGAGAGAGAGAGAAAAAGAAAAGAAAGGAAAAGAAAAAAGAAACGATCGGTGGAAGGATCGTCGACGAAACTCGGTCAGTGTGCTCTAGTGTCATTTAAAGGGGGAGGACGATGCGGTGTCGTGTCCCGTGAACTCCTGCCACGTTAGAGGCGATCCAAACGTTAACCGACGTTCTAGGCGAGTTAACGAACGAGAAGAACGGACACTTCCATAGATACGATAGATAAATATAGTTCCAAGGAGAATGAGACGGAGGTGAACAAACAATATAAAGAAGAAGGAAGAAACGAGAAATACCTCTTTGTACGCGCTGAGGACCTGGGCGAAGGCGAAACGAAAGCAAAGCGTGTTCTCTCCGCCAGGCCAGCCATAACCGTAAGTTTTACCTATGCGATCACACAATTGGTGCGGAACGCGTGCATCGGAAGGTGATAACGATCCTCGAGATACCTCTGTCGTGTTTGTTGCTGACAGATTCGAGAGAAATAGATAAATAAATGAATAAGGAAATAGAGCGGGGATGGTAAACGGGAATGAGAATTCTAGTTTTTCTTTTTTTTTTTTTTTTGAGAAAATGAAACCTAGAGGCCGAGTAACGAGGACAGAGGTGTCTGGGCGGACGTTGCACTTCGCAGCCGTGGTCGAGGCTCTGTTCAACGAGGAGACAGGGTAACGGAAGTCCTCCAATTCGTGTCAAACGTGGGACGGACGAAACAGTCGCGACAGTTCAGCGACGGCAGCGGTCAACAGAGATCGGTTGGATTGTCGATGGGATAATAATCGAACGTGCAAGCTTTCGCGTCTGTTTTATTTATCATTTTCGCGTGCTCGATTGACGAGAAAGAGAGAGAGAAAGAGAGAGAGAGAGACGCGTACAAAAACGTCATCGACGAATCAAATGGCCTATAGGAAAGCTCTTACACGAGCGACACACTTGAATGGTGTTTCCAAATATATTTCCTTTATCTTGTTTCCTGTTTTTCTTTGTTGTTTTTTTCTTTTCTCATTCTTGAAACTAGCAAACTAGCAGAGGTGAAAACCTTCAAACTGGACGAATTTAGGAATTTAGCGCGTTGAACGATCGTTCGATCGGTTTTCGATGTACCTACTATGGCTACTATGCACGTGAAATGTTCCCAAGATTGTGCCACAAGACATTAACTGTTACCTGTTGCCTCTTTGTCGATTTCTTCAAATCGATTTTAATCGTCTTTCTTTGCTACTCTACTTTTCATTATTTTTTTGTTTTTTTCTTTTTTTTTCGTTTACAGACGAGATCGGCTTGCGAATCGAATCGTTTAATCTACCAAGTAGGAGAGTCTTCTCTTTCAAGTGTTTTTTTCTTTCTTTTTAACGAGATTAATTATGATTCGAGTAAATTATTGAAGAAAAAAAGAAAGAAAGAAAGATTCGAATTACAATCGGCAAAGCACGTAACCTAATGATAACGTGAAACTTAGTGTCAAAAATCTCGATGATCTCTCCGTTTCTACAAACGCACAAAGCGGCGACGATGTTGCAGAACGGTTCGCGAGCGGATCCCCGTCGTTCTAAAATTAACAATACGACTTGTTGCACGTTCGCTCTTGTTCTACTTAGTTTTAAAGTTATATTTAGCGTATTCAAACTGTCGATAAGTAAAGCGATCACTTGTCAAGAAAAAAAGCGTTCGTAGATTTGTTGATCCTTCCCAAGAATTTTTGTTACCTCTGTTACTTAATATATATATAATATATATATATATATTAACTATATTTGTCAAAATAAATTTTAATATATATTATATATATATACATATTATACATATGTATAAACAGATCGATGTAATTTGAAGATGATTCGTAGCCGTAGGCGAGATATATAGTTCTCTATAGAAGAAAAAAATAAGAGAAAGAGAGAGAGAGAGAGAGACATGTTGTTCAAGTTTCACTTCGGCCGACGATCGATCGTTGCGATCGCGATCGAACTGTAACATAAATTATACATACAGCCGTGAGTACATTATACATACATACGCGCCGATACGCAAACACGTGGTAGAGAGCGTTTATTTAAGTGAACAAACGAAAAAGAGAGAGAGAGAGAGAGAGAAAGAGATGGATTATTATTATTCAACTAACAATGATCAGGTTAGATCACCACTCTATACGTGTACATAATCCGTGTACATTGTCTGTACATAATTCTAAACGTCAGTGTCTGTATGTACAATTCGAATGGATTTTAACGCAAAAGAAAAAAAAATACGTAGGCTAGGTTTTAGGTTGTTTTAGGAGGGATCTATATTATAAATAAAGTATATATACTTGGCTTGATTTTCTACCTTACTAGGGACTACGAGGCGAGACTCTTGAGCCAATTGACGAGGTGAGTCGATCGGACGAAGATCGTCGCGAAATTTCTGTCCATCGTTCTTCAAAGCAGTTTGACGATGTTCCTGTATGTAAGGTGCCTTAAACAATTACGTTAACTGTATAATATAAATTGTTACCGATATATTGGTGTTGACGATACGTTGTTTCTCTAATTATTTCTATATTGTTTCTATTTCGATAGTTTGTTCGACAGCTAGTACAAATGTAGTTTAATTGTAGAGTAATTATGTTGGCGATTATTTAGAGATTTAGTTGATATTTACGTTGTCGTTGTCGTTCACTTGCGATGAAAGTGATACAACTCGAATAGAGGAGGAGCAGAATTGATCGATTTATCCCGTTTTACGAACGAACAACGCAATTCAAACTCATACAATTCATTTTTGTCATCTCGTCAGCGTAATTCATAATAAGACGCGTTTATAAAATGCAGCATAAAGTATCGTATAAATTGAAGAGACGGTTGCAGTAAAGAGACAGCTTCACTTTTGTATAATTTTCAAATCAAACCAACTGCTGTCTTAAATTGTGCTGTAAATTGAAAAATTGCAATAACTTATTTAACACCTTTGTGGATATATCCTTTTAATGAAATGTGTAACAAAAAAAAGTGTGAAAAATGGAACTGTCGCCTTCTTTCGGCAAACACTTTGATTTCTTTTCGTTAGTGAAATTATAAAGATAATGGACGAGCAAGATTTTCACAAATTAGTTTTAAAAAAATATCTCTGTATCTGCAGCGTTCTCGTAGCGATAACTCGGAAACTACATTTCTCTTTTTCTTTTTTTTTTTTTTTTTTTAATTGTATCATTCTCGTTGCAAGTGAATACGGTGTGTGAAATTCAGCCTGAACGGTAGAAATTCAACGCCGCTTGTTTTTTAGTTACGTCGTATCACGCTGTTTGTGCTTGTTTCCCATGTATGTACAGGAACATCGTATCCGACGAAATTTCACGAGCGAAAATATCATACGAGAAACAAGAGGCAAGGATACACGGTGACGTTCACCCGAGCGTGTTTCACGACAGATTGCCTCGATAGATTGTCGTCTCAAGTTTGTCCGCCGATTGTAGCTGCTCTAACTCTACCTTAAAGATATTGTTATTGTTAACACTCTTCTTCTTATTAACTTTTACCATTAAAAGGAATTAAGCGAAAGAAAAAAAAAAATCACGATATACATTTTAACTTTTTAAACTTTTCACGTGTAAAAAGGGGGAGAGAAAGAAGTAAGCGAGAGAAAAAAAGAAATGGGAGACGCGAGTGACTGTGGATGCTTTCAAAAGAATCTGTCAGATTACAAAAAAGAAAAAAAGAAAAGAAAAGAAAAAGGAAACGAGAGGGGAGAAAGAAATGGCTTTAAATTTTCCAGCGTTGTTTCCTTTTCTTTTCTTTTTTTTTTTTTTCTCTTTCTTTCATAAGTCTGAAAAATAGCGAAGAATGTCGTAATGTTGCGAGAAAGAGAGAGAAAGAAAGAAAGTGTGAGAGAGAAAAGAAACACACATAGTTCTGATTGGCGTCCGGCGTTCGAGGAGATTCGTCGAGTTTTAAGCTTACGAGAGAATCGCCTGTCTTTTATGCGTGTGTGTCTTGTGTTTCTTCCACCTGTTTCCCCTTTCCAACCCTTTTCAACTCCCTGATTCACCGATGAAAAAGAAAAAAAAAAAAGAAGAAAATCAAATAACGTGGAAAGAAAATGTGTAAAACGCGCTGTTCAAAACAGCAAACGTTCCGGCCACGCACCATTCGTTCATTTACAGACAAGAATTGCGTATCGATAGAAAAAGAGGAGAAGATAAAAAAGAAGGCGTATGGCCAAGGGCACCGTTCTGTTTAAAAAAAAGCAAAAAGGAAAAACGAAACTCGTTCTCTTGAAGAGAGAAAATCGCACACAAACAAGTAATCGATCCTTGTTTCCTAGGTCCACCCAATATCGTTTCACGAGCACGCAACGAACGACAGTCTTGAGTTTCTCGAGAGAAATATTTTTATCGCAGCGTTGTGGATCACGTTCAATTAAATCAATCAAATAAATTAGTAAACGGCGGATAAGATCGACAACAGTGTATTTATCGTTCGAACGTTCGACGCGTGCGTTTATTTTTATTGAATCAACAGATACTTACGGCCCATGGGTATACTTCTTTTACGAGATCATAGAAGAACACAGATTTTGTAAACTCTGAGTGAACGGCCTCCAGCAAAGAGAAGAGAAAACGAGAGAGAGAGAGAGAGAGAGAGAAAAAGAGAGAGAAATCTAATAAGAAGCGTAATCCTAGAAATCTATAATTAACTAATACTAACTAAGATCCTAGACGATTCGAGTCTTATAAAAAATAAGTTCATTTAAGGTGTAAAACTATTATATGAGATTCCGACCACTGGCTCGGTGTGTAAGTCGTGAACGCAAAACAAAAATTAGCAGACATATCATTTAAGACAATACACTTGTTACAGAAACTACGTTTCTACTAATGTAATTCTTATTGTACGTAATCTAACTCTTAATCAGACTTTAGAGAGATTCGAGGTGAAGCACGTTTGAGACGTAGTTAGTAATTTAAAAAAAGAAGGAAAGAGAGAAAGAGAGAGACAGAAGTGAAGAAGAGGGAAACGAGGAGAGTGTGAAATGAGAAAGTGTGTTCGAACAATTACGTAGCGTTGAGATCAGATTCAAAGAACACAATTGTTGATTATTGAAGCACAACCGAATACGATATTTCGATGATTTCGTAGTTGAATAATTCTTGTCGTAGGAAGGAAAAGAGTAACCGCGTACTTAAAGTTTAGTTAGCCTTTGGAAACTAATCTTTCTCGAGTGAAATTATGTGCACTTAAGTGAGGTACTTATTCTTCGTTGGCGGCACACTCTGCATTTGTTTAGCGTAAACATGCGCGAGAGGCGATTCTGGAGGCTGATTACTCAGAACTTCGAGAGAGAAAAAAGGTACGATTTAAAAGAAAAAAAAAAAAAAAAAAAAAAAAACGAAGCAATGAAACAGTAACGAAGACATGCATGAATTGTACAAACGAGTCCCTCCACGTCACAGAAAAAAAAAGAATGATATATATATACATATATATATATATATCTATACGGAGAATATATATATAACAAAAAAAAATGATAAATATGTGATGTATTTAAATGATATGTGGTATATGGTATTAAATATTTGTACATAGGCGGACCCGTGCCATGAACTAGTGAGTTGTACCGATATTGTACTGCCATTAGTCGAGTTAGCAGATAACATCGAGTGAATTGCAGATAGGTTAACGACGAAACGGATTACCGTTCGTCGAATTGAAATTTTTGTTCCCCCCTTCACCCTCCCCCCTCCGTTCCGGCGAGAGCGGACTCGAAATTCGATAGAGATTAACTTTAATTCCGTTTGACCGTACCGGGCCGAGTGAAATTGATTTCTAACGAGAATTTCGCTTAATATCGTGCCGTGAAAAATTTAGTTCAATTCTGATGGAACGTGAAACGGTTTACTTTAGCACGGAGAACGTTATCGATTGCGTTGCATCTAAGTCGTTCGCAAAAAAAAAAAAAAAAGAAAAAGAAAAGAAAGAAACAGAAAAAAATAGTTCGAATTATTTTACGATACGATGATCAATTTTGATGCTTCGAGGCATCGAGAAGCACGAGATTATTTAACGATACGTTCATATATTTAAATAATTAATTTAATTGAGTTCGAATCGTTGAGCGAGTCAAAGGCAACGTAGTGTCTTCGATTCCGTCGTCACCGTCGTTCATTTCTACGAACTTCGTCGTTCTTCTGATTAGTCGATTATTTTGATTCAGTTAACTTGTTAACACACGCCGTAACTCGTACATTTTTGCGAAAAGTACATTTGAACATACGGTCTCACATAAATCGGATCGAAAGCATGACGTTTGCGAAATATATATATATTGGTACAACTCGGCGAAGAAAGTGTAGCGTGGTTATACACCTGAGGAATGTGCTCAAAATACTGTATTAAAGAGAAAAAAAAAAAAAGTCTACTAAATGATCATCAACGTTTATGCAAAGAAAAAAAAAAACCTACTCTTAAACAAGTGAAAAGTTATTTATTGGATTATATTGATAATCGTAATCTATTGTCCTCTTACCTAATTACCTACTTTAATATCTATCTCTATACGCCAGCATGGTTCTTTATACTCTTCTATTTGATGTTAATAACTATTCTCTATTATAACTTTTACTACGACGGACAAACCAAAAAGCAAAACAAAACAAAAAAAAATGAAAAAAAAAAAACAAAATGTATTGTTAATAGTGTTTTTAAATGTATTCGAAGCATGGTCAGCTGTAGGTGAGCCACGGATACGTAATGTCGCGTTTCACATGATGAGGACTGGTCGATTCGATTCGAAATACACACGAACAAAAACCAAAGAAAAAAAAAAAAAAAAAAAAGAAGGGAGTGAGAGATGAGAGAAGAGAGAAACAAAAAAGAAAGAGAAGACAAAAAACAGGAAGGAAGGAAGGGAAATTCGTAAAACGCGAGATATACCACTAGGAATTGTTGTTCCGGTTCGCACAAAACCAATCGTCGTCTCTCTGTCTTTTTCGCCTGACAAAGCCCCTTGCGGGATTAGGTTCGTTGGAATTTCAAGCCTTTTCGTTCGTCCGACACGAACAATCTTTCGATTCTTGTCCGAGGATTCCTTGTTCTAGGCAACCCTTGTCATTAAAACCTGTCTTTGTCTCGCTGCCGTGAAAAGAATCATGTAACAGCGAGGCAGTATACGATACGGGAGTATTCATGTGACACGGACATTTTCTATCGCACGGTTATTATCGCAATAATTATCACGATAGAGCGAAACGAGGAAACGTGTGCTCGATAGCAATATCGGCGCGGGCCGGCCGGCGTCCGCGCTGTCGTTGTTTTTTCCACTTCTCTGCTCAACTAGTTCTTACCTGTAAGAATATCGTAGCTATCGTAACGGTTAAAAGTATCCTCGTCACGGTTAGTACTTTTTTTAAACGAAACGACGAGAAGAGAAAAGAAGAAGAAGAAGAAAAAAGAAACGAACGAAAGAAATGGAAAAAGAAAGAGAGAAAAAAAAAAGGAAAAGCAACACCGTTCTCTCTCCGACTCTTGTATTGTGTCTTTTTGCTCAAAACTCGCGGGGAAGGGAAGTAAAGAGTATAAATATCGAGGAAGATCGCCGACGAACCTCTCTGAGTAACTGTATGAAACAGTAAAGAACGAAGAAAAATATTTGCAATGATAGTCGCTCAAAAAATTGGTGCCATAAGCAATATGGACAATATATTATTTATTGTGTTAGACGTACGCGCTAACTACAGCTGGCCGAGTGAGAGGTTCCATTTTAAGGAACCCGCGGATGAAACGTCACGTTGCCGTCTCTCACGGGCGAAGACTTTACTTTCGACCTAACTGACAGTTGAGAAACTGCTTCCACTAATTCAGTGCAGATCACTTCCATTTGAAAGGGAAATCTTTCTCCGATCGAGCTTCCACGCTGCTTGACGTTCTCCACGCTACGCAATCAGCCCGTGAGGAACGGCGACGTGACATTTCGTACACAAGCTTACCACACACACACACACACACACACATACACAGAGTTCAGTCAATTTGAAGCAATGTGGCACTGAGTCGTTAACGAAAACGATCGAACATCGATCCGAAGGCCTATCCGAAACTGACTTTCCTCCCCTTTCTGAGAGGGAGGAGAGCGAAAAAAAAAAAACCCCGTTGGAGGCTCGAAAACCCCTCGACGCACGCGACTCGGCCACATTGGTCTTCGGCCAAGGAACATATGGCACAAATATCAGATAACTGATGAATCCTCCGAATCTCGACACGCGTCACCGTGACTCTCGTCGATCCTTTCAATTACCATTCTTCGTATTCGTCCAGTTACGCACGGCCTCGCGAAAATTTTCGCATCGATCACTGTGTTAGCGTATGTACCTCTCTTTAGTCTGTCGGCAGCCACGATGTGTAACCGCTTGCTTTTCGTCGTTTTTCACGAAGTTTTAACGAAGTTCTTCAAGACCGAGGCGCTGCCACGTCGCCTTGCGCGAACCTGAGCACGTGAACGAGTTTAGAAAGATGCCGAGGAATGAAGAAACGAGGATCGACGAGAGTTTGTCGGACACGCGTGTGCGTTCGCGATTCGTCAAATCGTCAGCCGATTGAAGAATCAAAGAGCTCAAGGACCGGCGAAAGCAGCGACGCGAATTGAAGACAGGCGAAAAAGGATTCATCGATGGAACGGGAGAAGCTATGATAAGTAATGCGAACGACGATGTATGTTTAAGGCTTAGCCGGTATGACGAGCTTCTGTGCATCAGTATTACGTTCGAAAAGCGATACTAATATACATTGGTCTAGTGATTATACATTATATTGCGTACATATGATTTTATTTAATATACACATAATATATATATACATATATATATATATATGTATATATATATATATACATATAGATATTGAATATAAAAGCGCGATATTATTATTATTATTATTATTATTGCTATTATTAACTATTAATTATTATTAATTATTATATATAGATATGTGCGGATATATATACTTATATGTATATATGTATATATAAATATTTATACATGTATAAATATATATATTTACATATATTATGCGGGCGCTGAACACGTGCAGGGAGAGTAGGAAGCGACGCGCGCGCTTCTCGATAGGTCGCGGTTTAAATCTCGATGTTGTTCGTTCGAATGGAACAAAAAAATAACGAAAAAAAAAAAGAAAGAACAAAATAAATAAATAAGTGGAAGGAGAAAAGGGAAGCAACAGCTCACGCTCTGGAATAGTGAGCGATGGGACTTCGGTACGCGATGAAAACGAAACACTGGGGGGGGACGAGAAGATTTTTCGTTTTTTTTTTTTTTTTTTTT